TGCTGAAGAAACACAAAAGATGACAAGAAGTCATCCATCACCCTCCCGAGGCTGGGCTCAGGAAAAGAGGTGAAGTTGTGTTCATCTGCCTCTTCCATTTGTCTCTCCTCCTTCTCGAGGTGCAAAATGCTCCCATGCTGCCCCCTGGCTGTTCTGCAGCTCCTCCCACAGCACCCTGCTCACATCTCCTCCCAGGCAGCCCCCAAAGCCCCTGCCTGGCAGCCCTCCCCCAGCCTCCTTTATTCTAGGCTGTCCCTCAGTGCTCTGTGCAAGGTAGACACACATTTTACCTGGTGAACACACCACCAAGCTGGAGCCGTCATTGACATGAATTAAATGATCAAGTACTGACATTTGACAATGCATGAAGCCTTCAGTCCAGGGGGGGATTCTGGGGGAAGATGGGACTATCTGTGGAACCCACCCCAGTTATGGCCACCTGCCTGCTTTGTTTATAGATACACTTTGTCGTCAATATTATTATAAAATACCCGAGAATTAACATGTGCAAGTGGTCCATGTGGGTAGTAAAGAATGATACAAATAAATCTCAGTACCCAATTATTAGAAATCAGAGGCCTCTTAAATATTAAGCTGAGGCGCCCTTGAGTCAGCCCTTCAGTTTTCTGAAAAACAAATGAAAACCACCCACATGCTACTTACAGGGCTTCCCTGAACCTCTATAAATGTCATAATAATTTGATTAAAAAGGAAAAGACTAACTACAATACCAAATAGACAATAGCAGTGCAAGCCATCATGTTAAGTTAAAAAGAAAAAGGAAGCACATAAAATGGTATTAAAGCCACGTAACGAAAAATGTCAACATATGAATGGACTAAAACAATGATGAAAAGGACCTTGGAGGTGTATTGGGTTATGAGTGATTTTTTCCTTTTCTTTTAAAAAACATTTTCTTTTGCTTTGACAATCCTATTTATGCAATAACTACAGTCAGAACTCACACAGGCTGGGTCACCAACCAGGACCTTGGGCTCACCTGTCCCCCATCAGTTAACGTCTGTGTTGACTACTCACACTTCCTTCTTCTTGGAGATTTAAAGGGCCCAGGGATTGATTTCACGGTACCCTGCCAGGTACCTGTACGTATTTCATCAGCCCTTCGTCACGCTGATGAGACAGTCACTCCTTCTGAGGCTGCTGCTAAGCATCCCCATTTGCAAATGGAAATAAAAAGCTAGAGACCATGATTAACAGGCAGGTGTGCTCCTAGAGAGAACCCCGGCGCTGAGAGGTGACTTTCATTCGGAAATTTAAAAAACGTGATATCTTGACAAGGCATATGGTTAATACATTTTCCCCCAAAGCAAAACTGGGTTAAAAATTTCAAGTCCTATTAAAGCAAAAACTGGTGCTTAAAAAAAAAAGAAAAGAAAAGAAAAGAAAAGAAAAGGAAAAAAGGGGCAGAAGCATGCTCAAGCCCGTTTCAGTCAATATTGTGAACTTGATTCCAGCCCGTCCAGGCTGCTTGGACTGTAGCCTTCTTAACTCCTCCAGGCTCAGCTCCTCCCCATCCCCAAACCAACGGAGCCTCAGCAAATAATCAGATTATGTCAGATGCAGCGGAGCTGAGACAACAGGTCACGATGGTGCCCACACAGCAGCTGGAGAGGCAGCAAAGCCTACTGTTCAAGCTCTAAACGAGGCATTTTGGGCATTGGACCAGGGTGGTGATTTTGGGATCATGATGGCCCGAAATAAAAACCCTATCTATACACACAGTCAACTTGAAATACTTTTCAGAATTACTAGAAAAACACTGTGAATCCAGGGATGTTCAAGGGGAAATAACCTGTGGAAGAAACAAATCAATGGACTACATGAAGACTGAAGGAACTTGAGCCTTTAACAAGGCTCATTCTGCCTGGAGCACATAGTAGGTGCTCAATAAAGAATAATAATGGCAAGAAAAAGTGGATCCTAGAGATTTTCAGGCCACTTGACTTTGCCAAGCTTTTATCTCCTGGGTAAGGGTCCGCATGGGAAGGAGATGACAGTTGTGCACAACAGCAAATGTGTTAGGAGGTGACCCAAACTCTTCCGTTAAAATGGGGACATCAGAAAATAAAAAGGCATGAATCATAGAGCTGATGATAAAGAGCTGATCCGTATTATCAGCCATGCCTGCCTTGAAAAATGCTACGTCCCTGTCTTTGTTCCAGCCATTTCCTTAGCCTGAAATCCATTCTAACTTTGCCTGGACAAATCTTACTCCTCCTTCAGGGGCCATTATAAAACGCCATGTCATCCATGGAACTCATGCGGATTCTTCTAAACTGGCATTAACCTACAGACTCTGGGAGTTGGGCACTGAGGTTTCTGATCACCATCCACCTTGAGTTAGCCTTTCTTCTGCACTCCTTAGCTCTCTTCAATTAGGATGTGAGTTTTCTAAAGACAAGAGTCATCCTCCATCCCTATATACCCAGCAAAGTTCCTTGCACATATCTGTGGAGTGAATTACCATTTTTTCTAAGTGCTTCCCAGGATGAGAGTATTAATAGGGGAAATCAGTTCCTTTAAGTAAGGGGTTCTCACTGTTGTTTTTATCCTAGGAGGGAGTATTAAAGAGTGTGAGGATGCCTGGCCTTCAAGGTGAGTCAGTAGATCCCACCAATGAATGAGTCGCCACTGCTGCCTTTCCCTGGCCGTATTTGGAATGACCCCCTGAATCAAGCCTCACTGTATTTCTTAGAGGGACACTTACACCTCAAAGAAGATTCATCTAAAGAAACTAGCACATAGGATTTCATTTTCCCTAAGGCTTCCATGTCTTGTGTCAGTAAGCCATCAATAATTAAATAGCAACAGTTAAAACAAGACCACCCAGGAATACAGGCCCCAGGGTTGGACCATAGCAATGGTTTGTATGGTCCCCTTATCCCAAGCAATTTTAAAGATCACCCACAGTTCCCAGTTGAAAATGGTGTCTGGTTGATGGCTCCCTTTTAGAAGGAAAAAATAGAAGATGATAGAAATTTACAGCAAAACTTTCATACAAATTGCCAGAGCCTGGAAGGATTTTCTAATCCTACAAAAATATGAATTGGACTGACAAATGTAAGAAGTAGTTCCCCCCACCCCCACAAAGCTGTTACTAGATAAAAATAATGCAAGGTCTGTAACAACTAGAAGCCAAGCAGCTGGATCTCTGATAAGTCGATGCTGTGACATAAGAGGCATTAGGACTACTGTATTCATTGCTCCTTCCCCACACTCATCTTCTTTCTTTTCTGTAGCTGGTAACAAGAGTTTCCAGGAAAACAATGAATCGATATTGGGTAGCGATAGGCAAGGTATGGAGTAATGCAATAGATCCTGGAAGCATTCTGGTCTTCATAAGCAAACTGTGTCCGTGTGTATACGTGTGTGTGTGGTGGGGCGGGGGGGGGGGCAGGGAGGATAAATGTGAAGGAGATGCCAGTGGTATACCCTGGTACCTCTTTCACATCTTTGTTGAACATTTTTCATGCCAGAGTCAAGGAGTGGGGGAGGGAAGAAGTTCCATTTCATTCTCATAAAGACAGTACAGAGACAAAGGGCTATCTCCAGACACAGTAGAGCATATAAAGCTGCCAAGCATTTGCAGATCTAGGAAGAGGTTTTAAAAAGTAACCAAATCAAATAAAAACTCAAAACATCCCCGGCTGGTGTGGCTCAGTTGGTTGAATGTTGTCTTGTGCACTGAAAGGTCGTTGGTTCAATTCCCAGCCAGGGCACATATGCAGGTTGTGGGATCTATCTCCAGTTGGGGTGTGTACAGGAGGCAAGCAATCAATGTTTCTCTCTCATATTGATGTTTCTCTCTCTCCCTCTCCCTACCATTCCCTATAGTACCAATTAAAAAATACACCTCAAAACAACATGAGGATGATGGGGGGAAAAATCCTACAGAACAAGCTTAAGGAAATGACATCCTGAAGAGACAGAAGAAGAGTGCAATTCTGAAAACTAAGTGCTAAAGAAACCAAAAAAACTTTTTTGAAAGTAGTTTGGCATTCTCAATGAAAACAGTAAGAGGTAGAGCTTTTATAAAGTAAGGGACAGAAAAATGGTAAAGTAAGAACCTGTGAGGTTGAGAAAAGAGAAAAGAGTAAAAGGGGGAGCGATGGGTGAGATAAATAAAATATTTCAGTGCAACCAGTAATGCAACAGCAGCATTAATATTCACATAATTAGCAGTAAAAAGTAGAAATGATGCTGCAAAAAGTGGAATCAATGATATTGGAGATAAATTAAAGTGAGAAGAAAAAGAAGAGCAAAAATGACAAATATGGAAAATATAAAATAGAGATTGAATGTGAGGATCACAGATGTTTCTGAAACCAGAAAACTTGGAAGAGAAGCCACAGTCTAAGACACGATAAAAGAAAAGGCTCCTCGGGGGCCGAGGGAAGACCTGAATTTGAGGATTTAAAGTTCTTGTGATCCACCAAAAAGAGTGAGAGACTCATTTATTGACACATCCTGGGTAGACTGTTCAATTCCAAAGACTTATAAAACCAAAGCAAAACCAACACAACCTACAAACATGTCACTACAGAGTCTGCCCTTCTGCAGATCGGAGAACATAAATGCCAGAAAACAGCTCAACATCTATAGATTCCTAAGAAGCATAGGATCTTCATAAGCAAACTGTGTCCGTGTGTATATGTGTGTGTGCACACCCACACCAACATTCATAGATACACATACACATCCATGTCACATGTATACAACTGGTGGCAATTCCTATATATGTGAGGATCAGGATTCAGATGCTCCTTGCCTTATAATGGCGTTAGTGCCAATAATTCTATCATAAATTGAAAATCTCTTAAGTCAAAATGCATTTAACACACCTAACCTACTGAACATCACAGCTCAGTCTAGCCTACCTTAAATGCGCTCAGAGCACGTTAGCCTGCAGTTGAGCAACTATCTTAAAGAAGAGGTACGGATGGACACTCTGCAGCCATGGCAGGGTGAGAAGACACAAAACAATATCCCCAAACACCCTGGCAACACAGCATACTGCAGGGTGTCGGTTGTTTACCCTTGTGATCTTGGATTTGATTCGAAGACACAGCTCACTGCCCGGCATCCTGGGGGAGTATTGCACGCACATCACTAGTCCAGGAAAAGATCAAAACTCAAAATTCAAAGTACGGTTTCTGCTGAATGAATATAGCCTTTGCACCACTGTGAAGTTAAAAATCATTAAGTCCAACCATTGTTAATGGGGGACCATCTGTATATACAAATCATATACTTTTCTTAAAAAATTACTTGGAAGATATAACTCAACCAACTACAAGATCAGGAAGTTAAAAACTTAAGAATGGGGAAATCATACATAAGATGAGCATTTATTCCCTTCAAGGATGCCACACTAAAAAACTAATATAATCCATGAATGAAGACAGCATCAATACATAGCAATAAGCTAGCAAAAACCTGTTTAACATAAAGGGAATATTCCTACGAGGGAATATTGTGCAACCACTATAAATAAGAATTACAAAGAGTTTTTAGTGGCATGGGAAAATGCTTTTAATAGAATCTTAATGCAAAGAGCAGAATATAAAATTGTACATGCTGACTGATCTCAATTATATAAATGAAATCCATAGAAAATGACTGGCATGAAATATGCCAAAACTTTAACCAGTTGCTCCCAACTGAGCCACTGGGCCAGGGCTTCCTTTCACTGTGATTATGGATAACTTTCTCCCTATTTTTTGATAAAGTTTTTTTTCCTATAAAATAAAAGGTTTTCAAAAACTTTCATTAGATTTTCTAAATTAGGAAAAAATATAAGTATGAAGACTAGGTGTAAATTTAGAAATAGATTTAAAATACAATATTATTAAGTGAGAAAAAGCAATATAACATTATACATGGATTGTGACTGGAACCTTGGAAGGGAATACTTGTATATCAAGGAAGTAGCTTGCTTCAAGGCAGAGGGATTAAAAACCATCTTCTAACAATTGCCTTTAATATTATTATTTTATGTTTTATGGGAAAATGTGATGTAAAAAGGATGCCCTCAAAAAATGTTAGTCATATCCTCAACATGGTGATGTTACACAAAAAGAGACCTTTCTGATGCCAGCAATTACCATCCATAGTTCCCCAAAGACTAATCAGGTTCACTTTCATGCTCCAACCAATTACTATCATTACAGCTTAGACTAAGGCCTTTTTCTGTTGTAACCCTAGCACTTAGCCTGCTGTTCAAAAAATTTGTAAGTGAGTGAAATAAATATTTGGTGAATGAAGAAATGAGTAATAGAAGACAAACAAGGCTATTCTGTTTGATAGGCACCTCCTTTGGTAAAAAGATTCTCTGCATTCATTCAGTTTTTACAGCATCCCCAGTGCTGAACACAACAAGGATATTTTGCTTCCAGAATTCTCATCATCCTTCCTAGATGACATGCTCCATGGAAATCCAGTCGGAGCCAAAACCTGGTGCCATGTTTTTATTTCTCTTTTCCATTTCAAAAGGAAAACCTGTAGTTAATTCTGATTTTCCTGCGGGCAGAGGGAAGGGACACTTTTTATGTGTGTGAAAGAATGGCACCCCCCAGCCACCTGAGGACAGTTCCTCGCAGGAACACCTGTTTGCTCCAATTGAAGCCTCTCCAAATCGCATCCCGGGGACCGGGAGCTCGCTCTGCACATGCCCCGCCGCTCTACAATATTCATTCCCCACCTGTCCGGTGGCCGCCGCAGCTGGGGAATGCTCCAGCCAGGGAAAGCTGTGCCTTGGCCCTGACATGGCAGCACCAACAGCAGCTAATGTTCACCCAGAACCTGGCCCGGGTTCAGTTGCCCGAGTTAAAAAAAAAAAAAAAGCCTCTTCTTTACCTGCCCACAGTCCACCAGGCTTAGCACGGGTTCTTAAGGAGGGGGAGGGAAATCATTTTTCATCTTCATACCAATATGTTGCAAAACCAAGTCGTATCTTTCACTCTTTGTCTCTTAAATCTGAGTTTTTTGGGTTTTCGACTCCTAGTCATATTAAATAGTTGGTATCTGCTGAAAATGAGGATTGGTAAATTAATTTCTCCAACAAGAGAACTATTAAAATCCAGGAGCTAAAGTGTAATACAAATGATCTTAAACACATAATGTAACATGCAATTCAAGGAAGAAAAAAGATGCCCACATCAAACTCCAATTATAATAGTAAAATAATGTTTTATTTAAAAAATTCTAACCATGAGAAAACTGTACTTTTGAAAAGCTCACATAAAGCCTTATAAAATAAGAGACCTTTTATCTACTCTACATCCATGAACTTGAAAATACTTTATCTATGCAATTTCAAGGCACATCAAAACCCCAGTGAATAAATAAAATGTTCTTTTTCGCTTTGTACAGAAGCTTTAAAAAATTATCCATATAAATGGTTTGGCCTTGAACAAACAGATTAAAAGACCTAAAAGGCTATAGTTTCAGATCATGTATACATAATAGAAAATAAATGCTTTTCTTTATTGGCTGGGCAAGTTTTCTACTAATAAATTCTATAAGGCCATTTGACGAGGAAGATTTAATTGGAATATGTGAAAAAGTCAGTGTTTTAAAGTGAAATACTTATTGAATAATTAATATGCCACAATAAAATAATTCATGTACTCTGCCAATATTCTTTGCATCTCTTCATGAATCATAGCTATAGTAGGTATAGCCAACATGCAGGATAATTTCAGATGCTATTAAGTTTTACAATGTAATTTTAGTCAAGAACATCAAAATTCTCACTAACTTGTAAAATTGGGGTAAGATGTGGGAAAAGATTGTTCATAATTGCTTACAATTAGAACTATTTAGGTGACTTCAAGCCTTTCTTATTCTTTGAAGAAAATCTTAAACTCCACTGCGATTTAAAAATAATCTCAGTATTTGGATCATATTTACTTAATGAGCAGGTACAGTTACATGTTGCTTATTAACTTCCAGTGTCCCCTCAACACAATTGTGCACAAACAGATCTTTTTTATTATGTATACATATACAATAAAAATATATTGATTTTTAAAGAGAGAGGAAGGGAGAGGGATAGAAAGATAGAAACATCGATGAGAGAGAATCACCATCAATTGGCTGCTTCCTGCACATCCCCAACTGGGGACCAAGCCTGCAACATGGGCATGTGCCACGACCAGGAATCAAATTGGTGACCTCCTGGTTCATGGGTCAACGCTCAACCACTGAGCACACTGGCTGGGCACAAAAAAACAGATCTTTTTTTTTTTATTATTATTGATTTCAGAGAGGAAAGGAGAAGGAGAGAGAGAGAGAGAGAGAGAGATAGAAACATCAATGATGAGAGAGAATCACTGATTGGCTGCCTCCTGCACGGCCCCTACTGGGGAGTGAGCCCGCAACCTGAGCATGTGTCCTTGACTGAAATCGAACGTGGGATCCTTTAGTCCACAGGCTGGCATTCTATCCACTGAGCCAAAGCAGCGAGGGCCAAACAGATCTTTTTAACACCATCCCACAGCATTCAAGTTCTGCTACTGGGAAGTGGCCATAAAAAGGGAAACAGTCAGTAAACCACATATGAGGGTTAAGAATTAGTAACTTTTAGGCCCCAGGTAGCTGCCGTCTCCTCTGTAGTCTTACCTTACCACAGCCCCCAGGGGTTTCTTCATTGTATCATCACCTGTTGCATTTATTTCTCACTTACCATATAGCACAAGCTACTAGGTATTAGAAATATTAAGCTACCTGGGAGTAGAGTTCAGAGTTAGTTGAATCTGATGCCTAGTATATTCCCTTTATGCAATAATATTGAATATTTGCTGGTGAAGATTGCTTCTGCTGTTCCTGCTAAGAGACGGCTAAGAACATGATTTCTGTGGCTGAAGTCAGGGCATTGGTCCAAGTTTTGCTCCATCTTGGTGGAAATGAACTTGGACAAGACTCAACTCCTGGAGGTCTCAATTAACTATAACATAAGGGGAACAATGGCAGTACCAATTCACAGAGTCCTTATGGAGATTACATTAAATGAAATTTTGTATAGTGAATGTGCCTTGTAACCAGAAGGCCCCACAGTATAGATTTTAATTGTTGTAGTTGTCTTTAAGGACTTATTTTGGATAAATGATCTGATTTCCCAAAGAAGGTATCCCTGCAAAGTTTCTTGTTAAACTTTGTGGAAAATTCAAAATAAGTATTTCTGGTAGGCTAACTCATTAGAAATAAGCCAGAATATCGAAGTAATTGAATGGTATTTAGTTAGGACTTTGTGCACAGTTTTGTAACAGTAGCTCATTTCTCAACATTTTTGGAGGTGGTCATGGACTCTTATAAATGTTATGGAAAATTCTCAGGAAGATGCATGTACACACATACACAAACATTTTCAGAGAACTCCAGTAGCTCAGAGACTCTGGCAAGCCCACCCCAGGAGAAGGACCACCGTTCTGTGCCTTGAGACAGAGAATATGGGTGGTTTCCTAGACCTTGGAACCTGATCCAGACACTCTAACTAGCTTGGGAATTGAAAGCAAATAGTTTTTTTTCTCCCTTTATCACAAAAATCATTAAGTCATCAGAAGATAAAAAAGCAGAGTGGTTTTTCCCAGATAAATTATAATTGTACAGGAAACTTGGATGCTATTCTTCCATAATTCCAAGCCTTCTCAACCCTTTAAAAATTTACTATTCTGGCTCTGGCCAGTGTTGCTCAGTTGGTTGGGCATTGTCCCATGCACCAAAAGATTGCTGGTTCAATCCATGGTCAAGGCATATGTCCTGGTTGAGGGCTCAATCCGCAGTAGGGGGGGCGGTGCAGGAGGCAGCAGATCAATGTTTCTCTCTCTCTCTCTCTCCCCTCTCCTTTACTCTCTCTCTCTCTAAATCAATAAAAAAATCTTTTAAAAAATGTACCATCCTGGCATTTTCTTCACTGATATTCATATTTAATTTCAAAGTTCATATAACTTTGCAAAAGAAGTCACTATCCAATATAATAGGATACTGAAGTTAAAAAATGATTATGCCTCCTGTCACTTCAGCTTCTATCTTGTCAAAAAATGTTAGCAACAGTTCAAAATAGTAAATGAAAACAACCTTAATTAATACTAGCAAGGTGGTGGCAAACTTTAGAATTTAACAAATACTTATCACACTTTTGGATACTGGATACACTTCTTTACAAATAGTGGGGTATTTGTCCTCAGAAAAGCAAAGAATTCTTTCTTCATACCTAGACGACAAATTCTCAAGATGTACACAGTTGTTTCTTATTATGGCCTCCCTGGAAAACATTTCTGGGAAGGCACAATTCCCAGCCACCTACTTTGTTTACAGCAGACAAAACTGCCTGTGTGGTATAAATAGGAGTCTGTCTTTAAATGCTGCTGAAAAATAAAATGCAACCATGAAAAGAAGCCATTTCCTGCCCCCAAGGTGGCTTAAAAAAAAAAAAAAAAGCTTGGCTACTTTCGGAACAGCACCAGAGCACAAATAATAATTATCAATTGCTGCACAATAAAAGACTAATTAGAAAAAAAGAAACCCAAGAAGAAAAACCCCTCTGAGCTACATATTCCACAGGCACCCTCGGAACTGTCAGGGCTGGGAAGTTCCCTTACCCGGCGACTGTGGGCCCCTTTCTGTCCTCCTGCCCTGGAGATGTATATCTATAACTCGCTCTTGTTTCCACAGATAAACTTGGCCTTGTCTCCCTAACTGCACTTTCAAAAGAAGCTTCACTGTGGTTTGACTTTTGATCTGGGCAGCAGCTCGCTCCACCACCTGCACCGCGCCTGAGCCGTCACTGAGCTCGCTTTGTCCCATCTCATAACACAGCCAGCCTTTTAAAATTGATGTGTGAATACACTACTTTACAATGTGAGCGTTCAAACAAAAAAAATATGGTGGTGATGCTGGTGGTGGCAGCAGCAGCAGAAGGGGGGTTTGTGGAGAGGGGAGCCCCGACTCTTGCTTCATGAAGTTCAGATATTGTTCGCTGCCTTTAATGAAACAGATGGCCAAAGGCCTCCCTCAACTTACAATGGAGCGGACAGTGGTGCGATGGCGTGGGGGCCTGGGATTGTAAGACGTCGTTTGGGATGTGTGTTAATAAATAGCCATTTACGAGGGGGGCTGGGGCTCCTTTACGTGCATAAGGAAGGCCTAGGACGCCTTGCTTCTAGTTAACAGCTCAAGGCTGCGTTCAAAGACGGCATTGATGGTGAAGGTAAAGGGCACCCATCCTATTCTACATCGCATTAGAGAATGGCATGTATCCTGGCGGAGAAAAGAAAAAAATCAGAAAAGAAAGGTAATTCAAGAATTAGGTCAAATTATGGCTCACAACCGAGAAAAATATAAGATGCTTTTCTACTGTGATTAATTAATGGACAAAAATATTGTTATTGTGTAGGCACTTACTTTATCTTTGAATGAACTTATTTGCACCGGAGCCAAAGTGCAATACAGAAAAATCTGCAGCGTTTCAATAAATGACAACCATGTGAACCTCAACAGCAACTGGGAAACTATTCCCAGCCATCCTTCCCAAGATTATTCACTGACCAGGCCTACGCCAGGGGTATGGCCCTGTGCCAAATGCCATGAGGTTCCTGACCACCTACAGCTTCCAATTCACACCCGAGGACCTGGAGGGAACCAGCCAGACAGAAACACCTCATGCCTTTCAGGTGGGATGTACCAGGGGACTGTCACTGCGCCTCCCAGAAACCCTTCTGTCAACTGGCCGTCTCAGTCCATGTTTTGGGGAAACTAGCATGACTCCCAGTCCCTGTTTCTCTCTCTCACTTAGATAGCCTCCCCTGTGCACAACATTGTGGGGAGCTGTATAAAATCCTTTACGGGGTAAAAACAATCCAGGAGAAAGTTCAGACATGGAGGCTAATAAACACAGTACACACAATGCAAAGCAGAAGGCACCGGTGCCTCAGAGACGTGGAGGTGGCCATGAAGAAGGACCAGAGGGAAGACAGGCCACTTCCGGCTGGGGACAGCTGAGGGCATGATGGGAAAGCGGTGCT